ACATTATTTGTAAGTTTGCTGCCAGCAGCCCTCTTTTTGTTAATTATTAAACCTTTTTGTTACATTTTGAAACCTTGCCTGCGCCCTGGATCTGTTCCTGTCAAAACTCCTTCAATCAACAAGACTAATTAAATCATATCTCTGGATAAGCGTATGATATCAGAATGATCCAGGTTTCAAAATGTAGCTTTTAAAGCCAGGAATCTGAAAATGTAATTAGGTTATTTTGACCAAATTTGACTTAATCCTCATTTCGATATGATGGGTCACATATGAGGTGCAGAACTTTTAAAACCACATTTCTYACTGCTAATTTAATAAAGGCTGTTGTTGTTTGTATTTTCTAAGGTGTGTCATGACCTTCTGGATCATCCAAGGTGAGACTGACTTCTGCATGTCCAAATGGGAGGAGATCATCTACAACATGGTTGTAGGTATCATCTACATCTTCTGCTGGTTCAACGTAAAAGAGGGCCCGAGCCGCTTCCGTATGACTCTSTACTACTCCGTGACACTGGCTGAGAACGTTGCACTGATATCCGCCTGGTACACCTATCGTGGCCCACAAACCACAGACTCCTCTGCTCTAGTGGTGGTGTGCCTTGTAGCCTGCAGCTTTGCTCTGGGAACCTTTTTTATGTTGGTGTACTACTGCTGGCTGCACCCAGATGGGCCTGTTCTAGGCTCCCAGTGGGGAGGATGTGTAGACGARGGTGTGGTGAGTACAGCAGGGGTGGTGGGAGTTATTGACGCTTGTCTTACTCCATCTGAAGGGTCCCAAACAGATATGGTAATTACCAGTCCCCCGAGAACTCTACCTAGGACTAAAGACACAGGGGAGCTRGTTTCTGGGGAGCGGGACAGGGACAGCTGCCTGCCCATCTTCCAAGTTCGCCCTTCACCTTCATCCTCTCCTGCCCTCCTTCACCGGACCTCCTCCTCATCTCGCGCACAGGAAGGTCCTGTAATCAGGATCGACCTCCCTAGAAAGCGATACCCAGCCTGGGATGCACACTTTATCGATCGGCGCCTCCGGAAGACCATCTTGCTCCTGGAGACCACGTCAGCTGTCAGCCCTCGGATACAATACAGGAGTAGCCTGATGGGCAGCAAGGAGGTTTTAGAATATGAGACAACTGTTTAAGTCTGTGGTGGCTTTTAAAGTGCAGTCTGGGACCAAGGTTCAGCCTCGGATCAGTCCTCACCCAAGGACTACCTCTGCCAGGAGTACATAAAAAAGCAGTGTCGGGCTACTCTTTTAGCCAAAAGAAGCTGTCAAATGTGATTGTAATATGTGACGCGCAATCTGGGACCAAAGTTGAGGAATAAGTAGCAAGACTGAGCTTATTGTCTTGGACCCCAGAAACACAACWGAGACTTGGGGAATATTGAAGAAACTGGTTGCTAGAAGGTGTTTGAGACACGCAATCATTTTGGGTTGGGCAAAACAAGACACGATCATATTCTCATGTCTAATAATATTAGCCAAGGTCAAAGCATTGGTAAAATTCCTACTTGAAAACCAGATTTAGCTCACATTTATCGAGTAAAACTACGAATTTCTTTTTCAAATCAGCATTTATTTGACTTGTTATTCTTTACATTTTGAGAAAAATGGTGACTTTGAAGAGAATAGACGTGGAATTATTTTGTTTAGATTGTATAAAAAAGAGAGGAGTGTTTTTTCTTAATCTGGTCATTTATACTTAAAAAACTAGAAGTCCCATGCAGTATTTTTTCTGTTTTACATTATCAGTGAGTTGTGTTCAAAGGGATGCAGAGTTCTGTATGCTCCACTTTAATTTCTTTAAACAGTTAGAATTTGTCTGGTAAAAGAATAGAACTTAGTGCAGGTTCAAATAACTTATGAACAATGGAACCATCCATTCCTATGTGTCATAATAGCAGCCATATCACAAGTCTCAGTGTTTACATCCCCGCTGCACCCCAACTTGTGAAAGGACATGTTCAGAAAACTGTTAGGACTTCAGGTAGGGATGTAAGAGACTTCTGCAATCACTACCATCATATGGCATGCTCCAACTAGCAACAAACAGGCCTGTGATGTACAGTTGAATAAATACAGATGTCAGCTACTGTATAAGCTGTTAATATAAGCTGTAGTTAGGTGATGAATGCTTGTTGAGAGACAAAGCTTCATTTACTCTTAAGAGGCTTAATGTAATCCAAAGTTGTCTACCTTTTTCAGAACTCATGATGTGTAGAATATGAGGGAGATCATGTGAAAATTATATGTGAACATGTTTTTCAGGGTTTGACTCTGAGGAGAGAAAGTAAAGCTGTGAATAAAAACATAAAACATCGGCGCCAAGCAAACTGTCAAAGACAACAGGAAAGCAATGGTTCTGCTACCTAGCTAACTGCAATAGTTTGTGTATTTTGTGACTAAAATTATAAAAACAAGTCGTTAACATTTTCTGAAAGGTGTTTTCTCCATCTGGCAGTCAGACCAATAATAGAACTAGAGTTTGGACATGATAAATGGATGTAACCACTGAATCACTAACAACAAGGAAGTGCCTTCAAATGCTGCAACAGTAATGATCAGTAGGAGCTGGTTCTGAAACAACAGAATCTTTGCACACATCCACATTTTTCATCTTTCTGACCATGCATAACATGGAAATTAAAAACCTAAACAATTAGTTTATGAAATATGATATTTAGTTGAGCATGATATTCTCAAGTTCATGAAAATAGTGATGTTGGTCAAGAGTGCATGAAAGTGTTTGAGACCTCAAATCTTATTGGGTTGAAAAGATGACTTGGCTTAAATTGAACTGAAGTGAAAATTTTAAATGCTTAAATCTGGTTTAAGATCTGAATTTAGACAGGATTAAAAAAATAAACACGTAAAACCAGTTTTATGCAAAGATCCGACTCATGATGTGCACATGTACATTTCACCAAACCAATCAGTTACATCCATAGTTGATGAACTGGTCATGTTACTCTATTTTCAATTTTGCTAGCCCATTTAATGACCTACATTTACAATAGTGTGGTGTTTGTGCAGCTCTACAGACCTGTCATTGCTCCACTGGCTRTGGTCAAATACTCCTCTTCTGTCTTCTTGTCTGGTGAGGCAGGAAGACTGGGTGCTGTAAAGTGCTCAGCCTGTGCTGGTATGACCCACTTTGGGTTCAGAGGCCGGGGTGGAGTTTGTGGTAGATGGCCTGTCAAACACAGGTTTTATCAGAGGAGCTCAGTGAGGAAACCTGTGAAGCAGAAACTGTTACAGTACATTTACATGTAGGAAAACAAGCTAAAACAAGCTAAAACAAAGCTAAAACAAAGAAAAACAAGTGGCAATTCACAAAAGATATGGATGGCCTATAAATTCAGAAACTACACTGAGCTGGGTTTGAGGAGAGTTCCAAACATCTGCAACAACTTTGTAAATATTTTGAGCAAAAAAAAATCACTCAGTTTTTCCACAAGCTCCAAATTCCTTTGACATGAATAAGAGGCTGTGTGACTCACATAAAGAAACTAAAAACACAATTATTTATTTATTTATTTATTTATTTATTTATTTAGAAATTTTGAAAACTTTTCTTTTAGGGCAATAATTCAACAACAATACACTGTTTATCATGACACACACACAACCAATATCAAACGAAAATATGCCCAACAGAATGTTGATCATTTCACTGAACTCTGATTCAGAACCGCACGGCATTGTGGGGGATGTAGGGAGAGGAAAGGCTTTGGCTGCTCCACCTTTCACGGCACAGCTAAGGTTGGTGGCATCAACTAACTCACTCACTCTTTGGTCAGCTAAACAACCTGCTGAGTAACATGGAGCAGTGACAGTTTCATGTTTCACCAAAACAAAATAAAAAAAAATCAAAAATGCCGTGGAGTGAAAGGAGAAAATGATGCAACAGCTCAAGAGGAAATTGTGTACAAAGAAGGAAAGGTCATGTCACCAGTTTGGTAGAATTAATAAGCCTTTTTTTTTCTCTTGGTCATTTCAAATAGGTAAATTCAAAAACTAATCAATAACTAGACATGGGTTTTTACGATGTAAAAACAAGTGTGCATTGCCACGTAGCATGGCTTTGCCTGCAGCATTGGACTTGCAGAATGAACTTTGACCAAATTCAAATAAGTTTTCTAAACCAGCTTGTGCCTGTCACGTCAGCAGGTGTTTTTAATTAAGGTAATTGAGTGATAATTTGAAGTTGGAAGAGATTTTTTGTTAGCGTTGTATTAGTTGGATTTTGAACCCTGATCTCCCACATGAAAGTCCATGACATAGACCATTAGACCAGTGGAGCTGTGGAAGAAGGTGGTGTCAGGGGTTGGTTTGTATGTGTGCAGAAAGAGGCCACATTGCCAATACAATTACTGACACTAAACTGCATAATATTACAACAATAGAGCAGTATTAAGACAATTTTATGGCAAAGCATGATAATAAAATCATATTATTATTGTAAACACTGAATCATTGAGTGTAATGGTGTGACAATACAATCTGAAAATATGTGGTTTAAATGAAAGTGTTTGTTCATAGCTGGGATTGAACCCTAATCGCCCACATAAAAGCCCATAGCATAGACCATTAGACCATTAGAACTGTGGCAGAGTGTGGTGCCAGGGGTTGGTTTGTAAGTATGCAGAAAGAGGCCACATTGCCAATACAATTATTGACACTAAACTGCATAATATTAAAACAATAGAGCAGTATTAAGACAAATTTATAGTAAAAGATGAAAGTACAATCATATTTGTATTGTAAACACTGAACCATTGAGGTATAATATTAAAAAAAACTATGGTGCAGTTCCAAGTTGAGTACAGCTGGGGGCAGTATTGGAACATTACAAGGCCCCATTGACTCCCATTATATGAATTTGGAATAAAGTTTAAACATTAATGTTTCAAAAACTACAAGTTGTACAGGTACCAAAAGGYGTAACAATCATTTGACACAGGACATTTACAGATAGAATTTACAATGGCAGCTGTAGGGCAAAGTACGCAGGAGCATTGGACTTGCAGAATGAGCTTTGACCAAGTTCAAATATGCTTTCTAAACCAACTTGTGCCTGTCACGTCAGCAGGTGTTTGTGATTAAGGTAATTGTGTGACAATATCAAGTTTGAAGAGATTTTTGTTAAAGTTGCAGAAGCTGGATTTGAACCCTGATCTCCTGCATGAAAGCCCACAGTGCTCATCATGAGACTATAGGAGATGTGACAGAGGATAATCCCAGGGATTGGATTGTATGTATACAGAAAAAGTTTACCTTGCCAATGCAATTATTGACACTTAAGTGCAATATATTACAGAAATAGGACAACATGAAGACAGTATTACAGTAAAACATCAAAATACTATCATATTAATATTGTAATCACTGAACTACTGAATTTAAATATTATAAAACTATTGTGTAGTACCTTGTTGTAGAGGCAGCGGGGGCAGTATTGGACCAATACAAGTCTCCATTGACTGAAATTATAATTTATTAAACATTAATATTTCAAAAACTATAAGTTTTACAGGCACCAAAAGGCATAGCCATCATTTGGAACAGGGGCTTTACAGATATAAATTACAATGGCAGCTCTAGGACAAAGTWTGCAGGAGGAGAAGCATGGCAAAGTTGAGATGACTTGGATGGGAAACGAATCACAATGATTATTGATATCGACTGACATGACACACTTACTGATACATTTTTCAGTTATATCACCCAGCTCAATTTTTTTGCAAATGTTAGCAATTTCACAGAGCAGGCAGTGGCTCATGCTACAACAGAAATGAGAAAACATACAAAACATCTACAAATTTACTGTTTCTGTAAATAAAAAAGTCCTTTATTACTTCAACAAATTTAACCTAAAAACATCAAGTATGCTAAAAACCAATCTAGCCTTCTTAAATTAAAGGAGTCTTACTCAGTTCTGTCAGTCTGCAGATACTTCTTTAAAAAATAATTCCAATATTTAGATTTCAAGACTCAAATGTATACATTTTTCAGTGGGAGTTTAAGTGTGACTTTTGAACCCCATCTTTTTGAGCAAAAAATGTTATTCTTGGTTTCGAAAAAGTAAACATCTAGAAGGGATTWTATGAAATCCAAGTGTTTAAAGAAACACACTACAGTGGCTACATCCATTTTATAAAACAGATGGGAGGACATTTAGACTGTGGTTCTAACGCTCTGTATGCAGCTCAGTCTTTATTTCAAGCAGCAGAAATGTTCTGAAACACCTTTTGAGTTCTTCTCTCATAAAAACTCCAGTTGCTGAAGTCTAGTCATCGTTGAAAAGAATCTTAAACATTAAGTTGACAATCGACGGTCAAAGATCACAGTGTAAAACACCCTCTGCACTGCTGGATGATGGTTGGGATCAACATTAGGTTCAGTCAGAGAACAGTTGATCGTTGTAGTAAACTGGTGTACAAAGACAGAGTTGATGGAAGAAAGAACTGAAAGCAAGTTTTCACTTTTTGTTTTTACTCAGACCAGCAAGTGTTCACTGCTGTTGTCTGTTTGGTATACTACATCCAAATCTATTCGCTCTGGTAAACTGAACATACAGGAAAGGATGAAAGAACATATTAACATAAATTTAAAAAATCAAATTTGCGTACGACTTCTTTCCTGTTTCATCCTACAGATAACACATCAGCCTCTCTGTGACATTTCTTTTCTTTCAGGCCTTTAAGCTGACTGTGTGTATTTAATGGGGTCTGACTTGTTGAAATGTGGAGATTCTTGTTTCTGTTGGAAAACTCTTGAAGCAATGGACACTTTTGTTTACATCAGCACTGTCAAATATTTTCTTTTTTTGATTAATATCAAACATTCCTTAAGGTTTTAAACAGGACATCTCTTCTTGTTTCACCTCTCATCCTCTCACTCAACACATCCTGGTACTTACTGTAGGAAAACAAAGATTCAGAGGATTCAAACACTGGCAGTTACAAAGGTTGTAGTCTTTGGTACAAAAAAACATAAAACAAGCAAACAAATTTGTTTTACAGCTTTTAGGTGTAGGCATTGAACACAAGGCAAGTAATTATATGATTTTGCTACCAGAGTTTTGCAGCTTTGGTCACTAAGTTCCCACTGGGTACAAAAAGAAGCCATCTACCATAGGTCTTTTTATGTCCACATCCATCAACATCAAACCTACGTTAGGCTATTATGTACCCACCCTGTCACAGCTTCATACCCACCTTGGTAGCTGCCTCAAGCTTTAATGATTTAATCGAGGGCAGTAAAATTAATAGATACACCGATTTGGGTTTATATAACGACAACAACAACAACAACA